ACGCGAACCAATGAAACAAATGTTTCGTCGTGTTCGTAGGGTCCCAGAACGGAGTACGCTGAATTTTTGCCTATAAGACTGATGACATCCTTTGTTTCTTAGGTTATTGTGTTTTCCACCAATGACGCTTGCTGAAAGTTGGGCATGGGCTCCCCAGTTGCCATTGGCGCTGTTCACGAATGTGTCGCCCAGTTGTGCTCAAACTTATTTCAAGTCACAAGTTTGCAACGGAGAATGGTGGCAGATTTCTGAGCTGGTGAGGCAGTGCTCCTGTTTGAACATGCACTTGCTGCAAAGAGTTGAGCACGGCCGTAATAATTCAGAGATGTTGAGAGCAAGGTCCCAGACCGCGCAAGCGCAAATAAACAAAACGTGGTGATGCAGCATAGGCAGTCTTCACAGCGCAATGGCTTGAAACACCTTGCGCTTTCTCGTTTTGCACTTGTTAGCTAACGGGCCTGGCCAGGACTTCATCCGGGTCGAGCAGGCGCGCCGCACCATACTGCAGGCTGCCTATGCCGGCTTTACATCATCCCTGCTTGTGCCAAGGCCTCTGACAATTTCATTGAGTATGAGGGCTTGCTGCAGGAAGCCATTCAGGACCTAAGCCACCTTTGAACCGCTGCGAGTGATCGCAGATTTCGCGGCGCCAGGAAAAGGAGCAGTACAATCTTCAGGCAGCTTCTGTCTCAGGATGGCGATGAGGAGCGTTTCTACCCCAGAATAGGTGCAGTAAGTGCAGATGCCGAGGTCACAAGCCTTTTCAATGACATGGATGTGCGCCGGCAAGGCAGCCTGGGTGGCAACTAGACGGGCCGCGGCTGCAGCTGGAACTGCCCAAAGCTGGCTTGCCTGACAAGGTGCTTTGCCGCTTGTGGACATCAAAGAGATGCTTCTGAGCGATGCGCGCCTTGGCATGAGCTCATTCATAGTTTCATGGTGCGTCAGCTGTCATGGCATTTGTTTCATGGCTAGCGGCTAACGGCTTACGACGTGCTCCATGGCGAGCCCGGTCATGCTGAAGACACACTACTTCAGCAAGACACGGGCAACTGATGCATGTCCGCCAAAGATGCAGTGAGCCCGCGGTATGCAGCAGTGGGTGCTCCAAGGTTTGAGTTCGAGGCAACTTGGCGGCACGCTTGTCGGCATACTTGGCAGTAAAGACATAGCCAAGGTACGGTCTTGGCTGTTCTCCCGACTTTTCTGTAATCTAGCAGTTGTAAAATTGCTGTTGAACCCCCTTGCCCTTCAAAATGAGCCCGCAGTAATCACCCTCAAATTCCAGCTCCCAGGGAAGTGTGGCCATGCTTCTGAAGAAGTTCGGCACGCAGGCAGGGCTTCCGCAAAGGTATCGGCGCTCTTTTGTTCTCCTTGCTGTAAGGCCTGACATGGCCTGACTAATCGATTCCCCCTAATCTTTCCCCTGAATTTGTTATATTAGCGGGGCTAGAATATCAAAGGGGGAAGCGAGTAGGTGAGTGTCTTTGGGGGACTTTAATTTCAAGAAATAGCCCCATCAAGAGGCCACTTGCTAGGCCAGCCTGAGCCTGCAAGCAGGGCATCGATGCCGGGTCTTCATCATGGAAGGTGTAATACAAAAAACAAACAAAGATGAGGCTGAGATTAGTATCAGCAATAATATCTTTACTTGCATGTTATGGGTGGGAAACCTGGCTGGGAAGGGCTACCTTCTTTGCAATCAAGATTTTTTTGATTGTGCCGTCTTCTTTTAGCTGGATTGAAGCTGGGGTCTTATAGTTCCTTCAACGATAGCTTACTTAGCTTGTCGGCGTAGGAAACTCCATTCAAGAAAGCTCTTTGTGTCCCATGTTCACCTCCGGGATGTTACTTCAAGTGCTGCTAGACATTGCGTTAGATACTGGGTTGTTACATGAAGCCTTTGAAGCCCAAGGCCTCGTGCCCTCAACCTTAAACCCAAAAACCTTGCACCAGCAACTTGACCCTGAAGGGTGGCCACGTCACGCTGGCAGAGTTTCAGCGTGTCGTTCTGGAGGATGGCATGGTGAGCCGTGTATGGGGTTATATAGGGTATAGGAATCATGGAGATGCAAATGGAAAAGAACATCTAAAATCATATGGGAACTAGAATTTTACTGGTGTACAGCAATGTGGTTTGAGGTTGCCGCCATGTGGAGGGTCAAGTGTTGGCCTTGGGTCCCTCAGCAGTGTGGACTAATCCGCTCCCTTTCAGCAACCGGGCCATTTGAAATCTCAGTTGAGGGATGTGCTTCAGGTCATAGAAATTCATCAAATCCAAGTTGGATTCCCCAAGCCCTAATCCCGGAACAAAGGCCTCTCCCAAGAATCCAGGAATTCCCCTGCAGTTTTTCTAATTCCTGAGGAGTCATTATGCTTGCTCATACTTTTTGATGTGATCCCGAAATGCTTTCTACTAGCTGGGTAGTTAACAAAGCCCCGTAAAGGCAAATGCTCTTCCGTTGGCTGGGGAACTCAGCACCTAGGAATCCCATTAGGTGGGTCTTGCAAAAGAGGACCCTAAGCTTAGAAAGCCGAAAGCCTGTAACATCCCTACAAAGTCGTCGTTACAACCTGTCGCCCCCCAAGGCCTAAAGCATGAACCCTGTGCGGGGCACAGGATGGGCGAATCGCGCCGAAAGCCTCTGCGGACCGCGGCCGACGACCGCGGCGCTTCGCTTCACCCAAGTCGTTAAAGTTTTAGGATTGGATTGATCGAATTCTATGTGGAGGTCTCCGAAGTCTGTTGTGGGTTCCATTGTGGGGGGGTCTTGGACGTATGGATCCCGTTAGATGGAGGAGTCAATTTGCGCACGGTGCGCGGGCGCTCTGCAGACCCCTCCTAACGTAATGTGCTGAAGGCTCCCCAGCCCCAAATGATTGACAAGAACGTTATAGCCATTGCGCTGCAGAGCACATGGTTCCACTGCTAGCATGACCATTGCGGCTGCAACTCGAACTAGCCATTTCTGGCAATGAGCGTCGCAAGTAAGGCGGCGCGATGACTGGAACTGCTGGTGGCCATCAGCATCTTTCTTGACCAATTCTAGGAATCGGCAAATGCCAGGTCTCTTTGATTTGGGTTGAACATCGTCTTTGGGGATGCGCAACTGATTATTAACTCGGGTAGACTGTAGGAGATGTTGACAGCAGCTAATGTGGTGCAGTCACTTCCCCCTGCAAATTGAGGTTCGGCGCTGAGAGGTGTTTACTTTGGCGAGTTCGCGCGTTAGGGCTGACCGGGAAATCCTTAAGATCTGTCAAGGATTCGGCAATGAATTAAGTTTGGTAGCCCGACATCAATCCACTGGCCAGGAGAAAACCCACGTGCTTGATAGAACGTATGCAACGGGTGGCGGTGTGACCCAAGTAGGGTGCATGAGGGTGGAACGCATGTCTTCAAGTCAAGGCCTGCCAAAAAATCAACACTATTTGCAGCATTCCGTTTGCAACAACTCTGATTCGGCTTCCAACCATGTAATTGGACATTTCATTCCTGGAGGACCTAAGGGGCTCACCTAATCCTTGTGCAGGCTCACTAGTGTAGAGGGCGACAGCTGCTGCTCCTGCAACATTAGTCTTGTTGGATTGCATGTTGCATGTCGAGTTTGGAGTGGAAGCTGAGGAACGGCTAGCTGTGCAAGAGGGCTCGGAAGAGTCCTCGTCCGAGTCGGGTGTTGAGCTCAGGGCGTGGGCATCTCATGGGCTCTTTCCACATTTGTTTCACATTCCAGAAGGACCCGTTTTGGTGAATAAACTGGGAATAGTACCCAACTTACTTGCCGTAGCGGCAGAGAGGGAAAATTAGTGCAGGGCGGATGATGTCAATTTGTGTCCCACTGCCAACACCCATAGTATGAGCAGCAACGGTCTTAGGAGACTGAGGCATTCCTGGGAAATACCCACTGTTGGTTGCATCCTCAATATTTCTCGCCGGGTTCAGGAGGGTTTCTACTTGGGCGCCCAGGCCAAGAGGACCAGATTTCGGCGGAGTCCGCCAAGCAAAAGTGTCCCACAACATCGCCCGATCTTTGCAAGGAATATCAGGCCCAAGGACTGAAACGAGTCTCGTTTTTTCTCGAAGTAGACTGGCACCCGTAGGTTGACAGGCCCCAAAATAATGACAAAGCAAACTCAAGCTCTGGCCCCACGGAAGCACCCTTTGATACTCAATATTGCCATTGAAAGACGGGATCCGTCCCATAGCTGATTGTAGATCCTTGCTGCATGTCGTGCTGTGGGGCAGGTTGTGTTAAGCCTAAGTCTGCGTGTGAGAGTTTCCCGAAATACAGTCCACCTTAAGTAGATAGAATATGGCTTTGGGTATAATTACCTTGATAAGATCCCCATATACCCCGTATTCCATCTACCTAAGGGGGACTGACTCCCCTGCCATCCTTCAGGGGATCCAAAAAGGGACCATAATTTTGACAACCACCCATATCCCTGGGTCCTCCCTTTTTGAAAAAGTCCTACGAGCCAAGGTTGACGAGTTCTGATGGCTGTGATTCAGCTTTGGCCCCCACCCAGTAATAGTGACCTCAGGGTTTAGGGCTTAGGGTTTAGTGTTTAGGGTTTAGGGCTTAGGGTTTAGGTTTACGATCTAGGGTTTGCAGGTGCAGGATGTGGTGATTGTATCAGTCACAAGGTTACCCTACATTCCTATCATGCCACTATTCCTGGGTGGGGGCTTCACCGAAGCTCTGACATTGATTGCAGCGTGCTCGCTCAAAGAGGGCTGCAAGACCAGGGCTGATCCATAGTCCAAAGCTTCTTACTGCGCTTAGAACGGTTGTCAAAATTATGGTCCCTTTTTGGATCCCTCTTATAATACGGCCCCTAATATTTAGGGTACCCAAAAAGGGACCATAATTTTGACAACCACCCCTTAGGTGGGACCCGCCGTGTTTTTTTTGGGGCTTGGGTTTGACTCGTGATGGGTTTGTCCCTGCATCCCTGCGCTCCACGTGTGAAACTGTAGCTGATTTGCTCAAAGTAGCATGAATCGAATTGCACAGGCAATGGCGAACAAGTCCAGAGGACCAGGATATTTGCGAATGCGGCAAGCGGATGCGACGGAGGAGTTCGAGCTGCAACATCAGGAGTTCAAAGAGCACAACCAGATTGGATGCTTGCCACAGGCTTTGCAAAGTGCCGCGCTGGTATCAAGCGAGTCCATGGACCTACAAAATGACCCCAGGTTTTTTCAGCTCAATGTGCTGGATAAGAGGCTGTCAGCAGTTCAGTCACTGGCTGTTGTGTCCTCACTCATGCTAACTGCCAGTTCACATGTAATCAATATGAAAAAGGAGCTCAATTTTCAGAACATCGAAGGCATCATGCGCTGTCTTAGCTTCTTCATTCTGTGCATTGTGATGTTCTTGAACTTGATGGCAGTGTACGTCGGTGTGGCCCAAACTTACCACACCTACCGATTAGAGACAGCAGGACCAACAGGCTTTGAGATTGCTGCAAGCTACTACCTCAATCCAAATATTGTCACCTATCGCCATTTGGCCGTCAAATGTTTGCTCAATGGGTTAGCATTGTTCCTCTTCTCGACGGGTCTCAGGGTGGCTGTTAGCTTTGAGATGGAAACCGGCAAGGAAATGCCAAAGATGGAGGAAGGCACCGCCCACATCCTCGGCTTGTTTGTCTTAGTAGTGTTTAGTGGCGCAGCAGCGATGCTGACCTTCATCCACTGGAAGCATCAGGCAATCTTCCGGACAAACTATGAGGCTGCCAAATTCCAGGAAAAGCCTTTCATGGCCACGGTCCAGGGCATCTTTGACTCCACCCGCAGGAACTCCCATCGGGCACCTGATGTGTGATGAATTTTGATATCTGTCGTCAGCAATGTAACATCTTCTGCTTGGCAGCATGTACATGCACACTAATTCAGTAGCTCGTCCAAACTTTGACCCAGATGATGGCCGACTGCTATTTCTTTCCGTCTTTATCAGTGCTAATTTTTTCACAAAGTCGAAATGTGACCCTTCCCAGTAATTGTTTTGGCCATTCCTGTTCGTGTGTTGCTGTAGCATCTGAAAACTGCGGGAGAAGTGGCAGGGAGAGGTCGCAGAATTGCAGTGAAGCTGAGCATAAGTAAGAGACCTTTCCCTTGAGCCACTTCCCCTTGCTTCCATTTCAGGATCAGCTTAGGGAAAATGACTTTTCACTTTTGCCGCCCTTACTGGGAGTTCTCCCGGGGGGCCGCGATGCAGACTTCTGCCAGCAGAACCAGGCGTTCATGCAAGTCTTAACTTGGATACCAAGACAAAGTCAGACTGTAGGGTCTGAAAAGTCCCAATGCTTCCCAGTCTCAACATCTTGAAATTATTGCTTATTACTTGGTCATGCGCAAGAAACAACTGCTGAGGCGGTGCTAGCGCTGCAAAGGCAGACAGCTGTAAATGATGTTATCTCTCGCCTCCCACTCACAGCTGGCACAGTGCAAAAGGCCAGTCACATTTGGTTCCTGTACGTAATGGCGAGATGGCCATCACAGCAAGTAGGCCTAGCTTGCTCGCTCTGATACTTTGAAGTTGTTCACATTCGGCACAGCGTGAGGCGCGGCGAGAAATTCGCATTCTCATAAAACCCGACCTTGCATCGAAACAAAAAGGCTTGTGAAACCAGGCGCAGCTGCACATTTTGCAAAGTTAGGCAGTGATCTTCCGTCGAAATTCCAATCTCTACGCGACTTGAACGCAATCCGAATTTTCGTAGATACTCAAATGCCCAAGAATACTCCCCAAAAATTGGGCCCGAAGCGTGGGCTGTGACGTGCCCGTGGGATATTCAAACTACAATCAGCCTGGACGTAGTTCCTTGATTGTTTGGCCCTTTCTCCCACAAAGGTGCTACATCAAAAGGTCTAAGTGGGCGCTGCGTCGTGCTTGTTTAAAGGATATTGCGCTCCTCTGACGACCTCAACCTATAAGGCCCACCATGCACGCAGCCGAATGTGCTTTATGGAGTCATGCTCTATTCCATAAATTCACGTGGAAAGGCCTGGGCTATAGAGTCTGTCATCTTAGCAACTTATAGTAGGGGAGCACGGGCTGAGTAGCGCGGCAAGGTTCCAAGCCTTTGTGGACGCCCTCCGAGTGACGGTCCGGGGCCTTAGGATGAGTGTCTAGCTTACACGGTGAGGATTTGCGGTTGAAAAAGAGTTCTTATGCGCCGATTGTTTGACCACAGACTTCCGATCTCACCGAAGTCCGTATATATTCAAAGCATTACACCCCGCGCCCCATGAACAGAACCCTGGATTCACCATGCCACTATAGCCTTCCAGACTGATTTGAAAGCAACACACGCTTGCCTAGACATCATGGCAAGGAGCCAGCTCATTGCTGAATCCCCTAAAACCTTCAACCCTATACACGAACCACCCTAGAAACATGATGTAAGGGCCTAAATAATTACCAACAATGTGATTCTAGATTCCCTGTGCGCTCGTGGTATAGGGTACCTCAAACAGACGTAAACGTGATCTAGGTAGTTATCCCCCTTTTCTTCCGACAATCCCTATCTTCAATCCTCTGTGCATCCTCATTTTCCCTACACCCTGAACCCCTAAACCCTAAACCCTAAACCCTGAACCCTGAACCCTGAACCCTAAACCCTAAACCCTAGACCCTGAACCCTAAACCCTGAACCCTAAACCCTGAACCCCCATCCAAGCTCGAGGCTCGCGAGCTGCTGTGTGTTTTTCCAGCCAAGAAGCACCAGGAGACCTATGAGGTGGGCTTCGGGTTTAGGGTTTAGGGTTCAGGCTCCTGAGCTAAAGGGGTTAGATAGGGGTTTTAGAGTTTAGAGGGTGTAGGGTTCAGGGTTTGGGCAAGTTGCAGTCCGGTCTGCGTTCAAAAGGGTTTGGGGAAGAAGGCACATTTTTTGGAAGCTGCCATGTTATGATAAGGTATGTGTTGGGATCATGATAGCGATTATACAGGGATGATGGAAAATGGAATGGAACTACTATTTGGGGTTCAGTGGTTCGAGGGTTTAGTTCAGTGTGTAGAACTTAGGGTTCAGGGTTTAGGGCTTGATGGAGGGTCTGTGGGAATTTGGGGTGCTATTTTTTTTGATGTTGTTACGGGATAGGCCGAAGGGAGCCTAGGCCCAGGTTCGCGAAACAACCGCAGGAGGCCCAAATCGTTGTCGATTGGCCGCATGAATCTGGAGCCTCTGACCCACTCACTATTCTTCTTCTAGGAAGCTGAGGTTCAGGTGTGCAGAATCCCCAAGAATATTTCAAAAATAGTAAAAGCCATAGTAACAGTAAGCTAAGGCTAGGCTCAGAGGTTTGAGGTTTCGGACTTGTGGGTCGAGCCTGCTGCAGGGCTATCCTTCAGCAGAAAACCCAAGTCTTGGAACAGCTTCAGCATTAGGGCCTTAGGTTGTCGAGAAATATGATATCCAAGGGCGTGAGTGCGACCAGGCATGCATGGGCTTACGTACACTGCTTTGCATGCAAAACTGGCTTGGACATGTCGTCCTGTTGCAATGTCAGGCCCTGGCTGCCAAAAGAGCGCAGGCAGCGTCCAAGACCCAGCTATTGCGGTACTTCAGCATGAAGATGGGGGGCCGACTTATGCGGGTCTGGCGAAGGATTTGGCAGCATGACCCAATCACAAGTTGTTTGGGAGAATGCAGTTGGTGCCAGGAGAAGGTATGCTTGTCTGTTTCTGTTAGAATGGCTGTTTGAAGGCTAGAGATCTCCTAAGCCGGTGCCTGGTCACACCCGTTGTCAACGAATCCACAAAATCCAAAGACGTTGCTCCACACTTCAAGCTGGGAAGAGTGGATTCCATCTTCAAAGTGCTTTGGAGGTCACGAAGCAATTGAAAAGAGCAGTTTCTTTGCCTTCGCGCGTTTTCGGTTTGGATTGGCCTTCTGCGATGGAGGTACGGGCCAGATTTAAATTATGCTCTGAACGCCTTTGCTCACTTAGTTCTAGCATCAGTTTTCTCTGAGGCTTGTTCCTCCAGAGGAGCTGTTCAAGCAGGGCGATTACGAAGGAAAGTGCGCCCATCCCACGACCTCTGAGGGAGCATGTCCAGCGATGTGTTGAGACCAGGTACTCCAGGTACAACGAGAGGGGAGTGCCTACTCATTCGGAGGCCTGGGCTTGAAAAATGGCCAAAAACCCTCAGAGGTCGCACTCCGGTGCTGCACGAAGTTGCTGCAGGATGGGACTGAGCTTGCAAAAAGCGCAGTCAAGAAGCTGGTTGCTTGGCAGCAAAGCAGGACGTTGGTTAATCATAGTCATAATGTCTCAGGGGAGATCGTTTCTTGGCCCTTGTAAAGGCATGTGAGGGCAGCTGCAGTATGTAGGGTCCGGGCAGGGAGACCCGATTTTGTTTCAAGGCCTGTCCATCATCACATGGCATCAGGTGTACTGCAGCCTTTTGTGCAAAGACGTTCACGAGTACGGACGTCTGATAGTTATTCGCCGTGATACAATTGCATTGCGCACCGTGCGTGGATGTTTGCTGAGGTTAAGATCTACGAGGCGCAGGTGCGCTGGACGAAGCCGCTTCAGCATTTCATGATTCGGTGCATGAAGGCTTAAGCCTAAGCTATGCAGCTCGAATGGGGGAGTCCTCAGAGCTTGAGACTGTGGGTAGGGGCTGGGAGCACTGGCATCATCCACCTAATCCAGCACACCCCAAACCCTTAAACAAAGGACGGTTTTGCATGTGACCATGGAAACCCTGACATACTTTATCACCTTCCTTGATGCAGAGGGTTGTGGAGTGTCACGCCAGGTCAAGAAGTATGGAAAGGCCGTAGGGTCTGGCGAAGCGGCCGGGCCGCCCCTCGGCTTCCAAGTGTGGTGAGATTTGGGGCTGGGCGGTGCGGGAATATAGGGGTTCTACTTTGGCATGGCGGCTAGGGTGCAGGGTTCAGGTTTTGGCAAGGCTGTTGCATGCCCCATGAGCAATTAATGGCATACCCCTGTACTCTAGGTCAGCAGAAAAAGATTGCATAAAGAAGATTCCCGCCAACTCCTAAGCTGCAGAAACCCAAAACCCTGTTCTTGCAAGTTGGCAGGGAAGTGGCCGAGAAGAAGGCTGGCCCCAGCCTTGCTGGCGCAAGCGAATTGTTTTCACACTTGGACGTGCAGGGTTCATGAAAAAGTTAGTAAGCCTTCGTGACAGCATTTGGGCTAGTTTTATCAGGCAAAAACCCAGACCTCCTGTGTAGAAGTCTCCAGAAAAACATGTACCCTGAACTCCCGGTTTTTTCGACCTGGGTTGTGGTGCTTGCAGGGTCATGTGCATTCAGGAGCTCAGTGGAAATAGGGAAACCCTCACTTTGAGAAATAGCATTTTGCGGGTGATCTCTCTGAGGCATGCATGCTTCAAGTAGAACTACTTGTCTTATCGGGGGCGCCTTGGAATGGGTCTGGGGAAGGGAGTCCACAGTCAAAAGCTGCAAGTCAGGTGACATTGCGTAAGCCATGCCAGATCGTGGTCAAACTCGTTCCAGCATTGATATGAGCTATAGTCTAAGCTCCTAGCATCCCCCACACTAACCCCCACAATAGTCCTCTATATACTTCCCTCTATTATATAATCCCCTATATAACCCACCTACACCCCAAACCCTAAATAAAGGGGGTTATATCATCCCCTTAAAGGAGTTTGGATTACAGCTCACATGAAGATTCTGGCAAGGAGGCGACGCCACACGGGGGCGCTGAAGAGCAGGCTGGGGGCTCACGAGGATACTTAGAGGCTCATGAGTATAATGGTAATGGAAACTACTATAGTTCATTGGGGTTATACAAGGATAGTGGAAAAGAAAATGGAAACTACTC